TCGTCACAGGGTTACACCTTCAGCCTTGGTTCCGGCTCTGTTTCGTGGCGGGCTACTCGCTCGTCTTCTGTTCTCGGCTCCAGTTGTGAGGCTGAGATCTACGCCGGGGCCATGGCTGCACAGGAGCTTCGCTGGCTCATCTACCTGCTGACCGACCTTGGAGAGCCGCCTCGTTCTCCTCCAGTCCTGTACGTAGACAACAAGGCCATGCTGGCCTTATGTCGAGAGCAGAGACTGGAGCACAGAACAAAGCACATTGCTCTTCGCTACTTCCTCGCTCGTGAGCTACAGCAGCGTGGCCAGGTGCGGCTTGCGTACGTGGCTTCTGAGGCCAACACTGCTGATGTTTTCACCAAGGCACTTCCGCCTTGTGATCATCAGCGCTTCTGCACTCAGCTGGGACTTGTCCTTGTCTTGCATCACTTACTTACTCCTTGACCTTGCTTGTACTCTTACATGTATATATATACATGCTCGTGCTTGTTTAGCCTTATATATATATGTGTACTCCTGCATGTGAACTGGCCTTGTGGCCTTGACCTTGTGCTCGGACTGTGTGGTGACGTTGTGATCCACCTTGAGCTTTGCTTTGCTTTGCTTGACTGGTCTTGTGACCCCTTGTTCTCCCCCACTTTGCCTATAAGGGTGTGTGAAATTATAATGTTGTGTAGGCTATAGTGGGGTAGCCTGTATGGGGTACATATTCCTAGGGTTCCATATTTGTATCACTCTCATTCCTCAGTCATTCATTCTCGTTCTAATTTCCTCAACTTGGTCTCCGGTAACGAGCAGGCATTGGTTGGGCCATTCCCGAGCCGGAAGTCCCTCCAGAGGAATTCTGAAGTAGCTGTATTCAGCGCCGATGACCTCAATTTCTTGTGGTCCTTGGACAGGCGGCTCCGGCTCTTCGGTAGGTTTGGGTAGCTCTGTTGGTTCTCCCATAAGTTCGTAGGCTTCTTCTTATTCTGACCCTTTTTCCCCTTGCTCGGGTGTGGTAGGGGCGTATTGATCTGGGAGAGGTGGACCTCCCCAGCAGGTGTCGCGAGTTGCCCAGTATGGGTCGACGACGGCAACTTCCGCAGGGGGAAAGCCTGCTGCTTCCGCGTGCCTTTGTTCTGCTTCGGACGTGGTGCCCCATCCTCCTCTTGCGCCAACTTCCTCTGCTGGAGCTGCTCCCCTCCAACTTGCGGCTGCTTCTTCTGGAGTTAGTACTTCTCCCCAGGGTCCGAGCGCTGGCTCGGAAGTGTTCGAGCCTGGCCAGTGTGTCTCCGCTGTCTTGTTTTTCTCGGTTGATTGAGTTGGAGGTCCTGACGTGCCGCTATCTCCTTCCATTGTGGCAGGTCCGGTTTATGCAGGGTTGGAGGTCGAGGCACACGGGACAGTGCGCAAGCGTAGAAGGCCATCGGAGGCTGGTCGTTCAAGGTCCATCTCGTCGGGATGTGACCATGCCGGCTGCTGCGTGGGAGTGGTCTTCAGCAGGAGTATACGGTGGGAGTCGCCGGTGGTGCCCTGAGCCGAAAATTGCAGCACGAAGACTCCATCGTCATCGATCGCTTTTCCGATGTAGGTTTCATTGTGGAAGAGCTCGAAGGCCTTTTCCTTCCGATTGCTGCGAATGTCGATTCCGCACCGCATAAGTTGAGCTGATGAGAGTAAGTTGTATTATAGATTGGGGGCGACAAGAATGTCCCCGATGTGAATGGTAAACTTCGTGTCGTCCGCCTCAAGGTAGATTTCGCCAATCTCATATGCCTTCATTTTTCCGTTGTTGGCGGCTGTGATTTCGCAGGGTCGTTGCATGCGTCTGGAGTTGCTGATGAACCTTGGCGATCCCACCATGTGTTGTCCGCAGCAACTGTCAAGGTACCACGTGTCCAGATCCTCGTGGCGTTGGCGGGCGAGGTTGGCAATCTTGGGTGTGACGATGCGATCAAGATCGCCGCTGTACGGTGAGAGGGCGAAATATCTGTTTGCGGAAATGCTCGGCGGCGATTCTGGAGTAGGGGGAGGAAGCTTGGATTCAGGAGAAATGTCTGAGGGGCGAGAGGACCATTTAAAAACTGTTGGGTCATTGTCTGGACTGGGCGCAAAGGGGTCCATGGGATTGTCGTGAGTGAATGTTGTTTGACCCCAGTAACAGGACCCTCTGATGCGTCGAGCCATACATCTTATGATTGTCCCTTTTCCTTTGTCCTTCGCCGTGATGAGTGCAGGGGATTGGGAAGTGCTGGCGACGGAAGGAGGCGACACAGTGGCGGAGGGATTTGTGTGCGTCGATGGTTGTTCGCTGGAGGCATTGCGCCGCTCGTCAGCGGCCTGACGCTTGTAGCACTGGTCGATAGAGTGGCCAGACTTCTTGCAGTATTTGCATAAAGCTCCCTTCTTTCCTCGTTGTTCCCCTTGTAATGCTCCTGTGTAGAAGACTAATTTCTCCCGTTTAACGTTCTTTTCGTTGTATAGGTCGATTTCTTTCTGCTCCGAGAGAAGCGTGGCGCACAGAGCTGACTCTGATATGGTTGCTCGGGCGCGAAGGAGTGACTGGCATTGTCGCCAGTCTGGGCCGAGGCCAGAGATGACCATCGAGATGAACATGTCGTCGGGAATAGTCCCACCGCATTTCTTGACTTGGTCACGCAGATTGCGGCACCGGTTGACATACGGTCCCGCTTTCTCCCCTTGCTTCATTTTAACTGAAGTCAGTTGGCTGAGTAGACAGCTCATGGTAACTCAATCTGTTGCCATGTATGAGCTGGGCAGGTGTTCCCAGGAGGCTTGTGCGGGAGCCTGCTCCGTCTTATAAGGGCGAATGCCGAGCTGTTCTTTAGGTGAGAGATCGCGAAGGTGAGCGGTGTATGCGAGGAGAGATTCGTGGTAGTATTGATGCTTCTCCTGAATGGTACCTTCCGAGGGAAAGGGTAGGCTTACGTCGTAGTACGTCCAGATCTGAGCGGTTGTCGCGAGAAGCTCGAATTCGAAACTCCACGTGTAGAAATCCTTTCCGTCGAAAGGGGTTGAGGTCTTCAATTTTGAAGTCAATACAAATTTGGTTTGCATTGAAGCAATGTCTAACTGTGAGCGTTGTGGGATGTCTTGTGCAGGAGCTGACCCTTGACGATTGTCAAAGGTGAAGGATCTCTCGGAGTTGAAGCGGCGGTCTTCTCCAAGGAGATGAAGTCCAGCAACGCCACGGCGGCCACGTGCGTAGCTTGAGCCGTCAACGCTCATTGCTTGGTGGCTCTCAAGGGCGTTGATGCGTGCGACTAGTTCCTCAGCGACAGCAGCGCTGACGGAGGTCACTGCTGATGGCGCGTTAGTCGTTGCTGGTGGTGGGCCCGGTGAGTCTGCAGTAGCTTTCCCTTCAGTAGCCATAGTATTGCAGACTTTGAGGTGTAATGAGTAACCTTATAAAGAAGTTGTTCTAAGAAGAACGAGAACTTTGACAGATCGTATAATTCACCGTAGCTCTCATACCATGTTGATATAACCAAGGATTCAGTGGATACGATAGAATCTATTAAGTATGAGAGGAGACAATGAAGGCTCTGTAGTGACTTTGTTGAATAATAATTGAAGGGGGACAAGGTGATTGAAAGATATGAGTACAAGAGTTTAAATAGAAATCTAGCTAGCCATGTACTCTGACGGGTACATTCCCTTATTTACTGTATTGCATAGCTATAGTAACCGTGGCTATTGCTATCATCGACAGTTACCATGTTGTAGCGAATTAACTGTCGCGCGGTTTCTGGATCGTCAAGGGTCACGACCGTTGATTCTCTCAGACGGTTGACCTTCGGGTGACCCTCGACATTCCGCATGCTCTATATGAGCTATTGCGGTACTGGTGCTGTGGAACAGCTTCGGGAATGCTTTATATAACCTTTTGGTTATTCCAACACCGAATGTAGACAGGGCTCTGATTATGGGCCTTGTTGCTATGTGTTACGGGTGCAATGAATCGAGGTAACGAGAATTGCACTAAGGTGTTCAATGAGTACCAAATGTGAGCGAAGGCATGAGCGAACATTTATACGCGAAACATGCAAAACGGTAACGCGGTGCGTGCGAGCGTGCTAGTGCTACGCTGGAGCGAGGCTCGGGCTAGTCCCGAAGCGTAGGCCGATACGGCCATGCCAGCAGTGCGAGGTTTGGCAAAACAGTGCGCGCGAAATCGGCGAAGTTCCGTTAGCAGTAACGGGCGAACAATCGGCTGTTGTTGTACGCGATGTAGTCGGCTCCGTAAGGAATGCCGAGAAAATTCCTTACACTATGGCTGACAACATCTTAGTCAACAAAGTAGATGACTAGAATATGGCTAATTTGTTCAAAGTTTAGGGTATGATTCTGCTATCAATGTAGGTATGGCTGTAAATGTTCTAGAAATCTGCACCAGAAGTAGAATTTGGTCATTTCAAAATCAAACATCTACAGCACCCAGGGCTTATGCTAATATAAAGACGCCAACAGAATTAAACAACTAACAATGGATTTAGTTCGTCGTTCCCAATTAAATGTATTCAAGACCTTCGAACGGAGACAATTACCGGTATTTAGCCTCCTGCCTTCGCTGTTCAGGCATCATCTCACGTTTGCTTCCCCTGTTGAGGTGTTTCTCTCGTTCCACTGATACCATTCGTTAACGGATTGCGTAGCATCAGGGAACGGAGGCCTGCTTTACGCAATAGATGGAACGGAGCAGGCGGGTCGTAGCAGGAAAGCGTATCAGGCTGAGTGCATTAGGGTGAGCGCATCATCTAGTGCAGCAGGGGATGCGCAGAAGGCGGATCGTCGAAGGGGGAACGCTCAGCACGCGTAACGCAGCAGGCGGTGTGTACTAGGGTGATCGTAACAGGGCAGTGCAGCAGCGAGAGTGGTCACACAGTAACGGAAATTGACTTTACGCTCCTAATTTCTAGGCCTCCTCGTTATTGTCCCCATTGCTCTCTTGCATCTCTACGGTAATTGGAGGACGTGAATTTGTTCCGAAGTTCTGATTGGCCATGGGCGGCCGAATCGTCGATATTCCGTGTAAGCGTCATTTTCCGCAATCCGGTAGCTGATGTGCTGACATGCTGATCTGCTGACATGTGTATGTGCTGATATGTCGGTGTGATGATGTTTATTTTATATTCTGATGCTGATTGGCGCACCTTCATATCTTTGTGTAATTCATTTTCCGTCTAAAAGTTAGCCATGACTGAAGGTGATTTTTTTGGAAGCCTCAAAACCCCCTCGGGTTCTTAAGCTGCTTGAATCGGTGGTGTTGCTAATCCATGACCATGCATGGCATGAATTGCTGGCGTAGCTTTCCATTGTGTTCATCCTACTTGCCTTCTCCCTGATCTTTCAATCATGGCCGTTTTGCTCCTCTACTGTGGCGTCCCATGCTTCCGGTTTATTCGTTTGTTCTTTCATTTAATGTATTCCCCTGCTGATTCACGTGGCCTCTGCAGTAATTCCGTCCGGCCTATCACGCGATGACACGTATCGCCATATCCACCACTCGCTCCTCCTCCTGCAGCAAGTGTCAGAGGCCGTGCTGCAGCGAGTGCAGCAGAGGGTACGTTTCTTTTGTCTGTAACAGATTATCTGTCTCCCATGTTGCTGCTGCAACTCGTTCTGCAGCTTCTTGTCCTGATGTTGCTTTCCTGAATCCGGTCCTTCCTGTAGGCTGATGCAAAGGCAGAGCTGGTTGCTGACTGGCAGCACATTTGCAAGCAAGTTGTAGCCAATGGCTTGCCGAATCCTTCTCTACACTGCACGGTGTTGATAGATTCCAGCTTCTGCGAGTTTGTGTTTTCCCTCTTGCATCTTTTTTTTTTGCTTCGCTGTGGTTGCTTCGCTTTGGAGGTCGAGGAGGAGGAAAAGCTTGTTGATGACAGACATCAGCGAGAGAGTCGCAACTTTCCTGAACAAGATGCGGTCACGTTGTTAATGGAATGCCTCTGTGAATTTGTGCTTTTTTTCTCACTTCTTTTTTTTCCGTTTCGCTCTGCAGGTTGACGAGGAGGCAAAGCTAGTTGCTGACATCAGCAAGAGAGTCACAACCGCAAGCGTAAGTGAATCAATTAATCACCACCACGTGTCGTCTAACATCCAGTTGAGTGGAATGTTTTCGCTTCGTATAAGATGCTGACGCTATTTCCTAGGCGATAGCTAATTGCCAAAGCTTTTTCCTTTGCTCACATCCACTTCCGCTCCCTTCAGATGTCAACACCAAGCCCAGTGCTTTTTTTCTCGACTCCCTGTTTCTGCTTTTCTTTTCACGTCTGTTTCTCCACTGCTGTCAGCTAGCTTTGTTCGGTCGTCCATTTCATTCCATTCCACTTGTGTTTAATCTTCTGTTTACCATCCCGCAATGCAGTAATTTGTCATGACAGACAGGAGCAGGTAGGCCCTGTCCGCCCCTCCACAACACCAGCACCACCCCCATTCTCATGTGCACCCTTCTCTTTCACGTGATCACCATCCTTCCGAATCCTTTCGCCATTGCAGAAGCAGGTGGATTCTCTCCTCTCCACTAGAGCATCAATCCACATACAATCCCCTGCGTCTCACATCCACCTTTCCATTTCTCTGTTCACCATCCCTCCTTCCCCATTCGCCATTGCAGAACCAGGTGGATTCTCTCCTCTCCACCAGAGCATCAATCCACATACAATCCCCTGTGTCTCTACCAACCCCAACAACAAGACTCACGAGACTGACTAGTCAACCCCCCCATGTGCACAACGATGCAAGCCTCACCACTGCAGGCTCTTCCTGCGGTCTTCTCTTTCCCACCACAGTACCACTCCTGCTGGAAGCAGAAGCAGAAACTGCCATACCCGGAGCTACCAGAGCTACTAGTGCTAGCAAAGCTACCACTGCCAGTGTTGCACAATCCGCGAACGCTTCCCAGAACCTTCCTGGACAGCCACTTCCCGCACCACCCGCACTCCCGGCTTCCCTAGCTTCAGAAAAATCCTTTATAAGCACTTCTTCCTCTGCTGAAACCCTTGCTGGTGACTATATTGAAGGGGAAAGCACACCTGCAGCGGATAGCAGCGTGGGGGATCCGAGGGGGTTTCTGGCCGCTCCCCAACTGGCCGCTTTCTTTGCAACCTCCTCCATCGCTGCTGCAGGGATTCCTAGTACCTCTGTGACAGGGCTTCCCAATTTTAGAGGGGATTTGGCTGTCACAGGGGTATCTGCTGCTCCTATGTCCCGGGCTTCTGGTGGAGATGGGGCAGGAGAGGGAGCTGTAGGAGGAGTGCTTTTATCGGGTAAAGAAGGAGGAGTGAGAAGGGAGGTGCTTCTGCCTAACCCCCCTGGGGGGATGATGCTTCTCAGTGACTTGTTGCCTGCTAGCAGTGCCACGTCCCATGGGTGAGTTGCGCTTGTTTTTTTTTTTTAGGGGGGCCCGCTGTTGCCTGCTACCAGTGCCGCGCCTAATGGGTAAGTTGTGGTTGCCTTCTGAGTGCCTAATTTTTTTTTTATTGCCTGCTAGCAGTGCGGCGTCCCATGGGTAAGTTGCAGTTGTTACTTTACCTAACGCTGCCTGGAAATGCTCAACCCATGAGTTTGGTCCTTGGCTTGACCTGTGAGCATCTTGGCTACTGTTGAGGCGCCTTGGAAAAAAAAAAAACAAAAAAACTATATTTGAGGTGACTCAGAGATGGTTTTCAAATACCTGCTCACAGTGAATATTATCGTCATTCGTATGGCCCTCTTCATTTTGTGCTTCTTGAATCCAAACGATGCCACAGATGGCCATTTCTTCCAGAGATGCTCCCGTTCATAACATTTGTGTATTACAATTGTTCCTCACAATCGTTTTTTTTTTTCTGCTTCCCAACAATCGCATCCTCCTGTGCGCCACACCCTGCACTAACAGCACCTCGCTCGATTCGCGAGGCACTGCCGCTGGTGAAGGTGCGAATTCGGGAGTGGAAGAGGCAAGAGAATCTCGCGCGTTTGGCATGCGTGCAGCCACTACTACGGCAGAGCGGTGCCTTGAGCTGCTGCAGCAGCCGCTTACTCCCTTGGTGAGTTTGGAGCAGCCATTCACTCTCTGCAGCTACTTTTAGGCATCTAAATCTGGAGCGTCAGTCACGCATGCAGCCACGGCCACTGCAGAGCGGCGGTGCCTTGAGCTGCATGGAAATTACTTTTCAGAATTCTCAAAAGTGATTTCCATACAGCGTCAGTCACACATGCATCCACGGCCACTGCACAGCGGCGGTGTGCTGAGCTGCTGCAGCAGCCGCTTTCCCCCTTGGTGAGTTACAGCCTACATGTCTGATTTTGGCACACGCATGCCGCCACGACTGCTGCAGAGGCGGTGCCTTGAGCTGCTGCAGCAGCCGCCTGCTCCGTTGGTGGATAACAGATCTGTTTTTTAGGTGCCTCTAGAACGAATATCTGGAGCAGTACACACGCAGCAGACACTCGCTCCCTTGGTGAATCGATTCGAAGTTCTCCGTTGTGCCTCATTCCATGGGAATGGTGTGTGATGGCCCCATTCGCGACAGTTCAGCGCTGTCGCAATGACATTCAGGCGCTTCAAAAATCACTTGTGTGCAGAAAAGTGCAGTTTAATGACCCTGTTATAAGCGTTTCATTATTATCATCATGAACATATGACTGGTCTCCATCCGGACTCCTTTCAATGGGCCCTGTTCTGCTGGTTTTTCGTTGGTGTGTCCGCAGGCAATGTCGGAGTTCCAGTTTCAACCTCAGCTCTCAAAGGCACTCGACTTCGCACTTCCGGATTCCTTGCCACTCCCTTTCGGGGCATCTCCTGGTGATTCTCCTGGTTTTCTTGGCGGATCTGATGAGTCATAGGGTGCAGTTTTGTGTAATCCGTTGCAAGCGTGCTGAATGACACCAGGTGTAAGTGCAAGGTTTATGTGAAAAAAATGCGAGAAATTTTTCTCTTTTTTTCTACTATTACTAGGAGAGCTGGTCGCTGGCTTGTTTAGAAAGTGATTGAAAGGATGATGGTTGGTGAGGTGCAGATGGAAATTGTGGTGCAAGGTAGACGGTAAGAGAAGTAGATTTGTGAGACGACTGGAGTGTACATTCTGGACATCAAATCCAGCATTTGTTGCTTTTATCGCGAAGTCGCCTGGCTGGCTTTCGGTACCCCTCGCTGCGCCGCAGGTTGCGGCAGACTAGCCGCCAATAAATCATTTCAATGTTGGATTGACATTTCCATTTCCCACAATCCAACCCAGCAACACGTTCAATTCTCACATCTTTGGAAATGGAACGCGTTTCTCACAGCTCAACTCAGACCATTCCTTCCAATCAGTCCCTCTCTCGTAGTAGTACCTCGTTGGATCCACTCACCCGCTCGTGGTTGACCATTCCACTCTCTGCCGATTTTTTTCGTTCTCGATTTTCTTTTTCGATGATTGGTTCAGGCTAACTCTAGCTGTATAGCAGTCTTCCAGCATCCCTAGTCGACAGCAGTTTTTCAAGTTTGCGGGAGTAACCAAGAGATACCTAATACGCGGTGCATTGTTGATTGGACTTGAAGGCGAAACTTCAATCACGCGACCCTCGTCAAGCTCGAAAAGCTCGAATCCATCGGAAACAACGTCTAACGGAATCGGAAAGGGCAAACAGGGTCAATCAGGGTCAAGGTCAACCATGGCGGCGCCTCCGTCTTCGGCGCCGATGGGCGCGTGGACGACCGGCCTCTGCGGCTGCACCGAAGACTGCGGCACCTGTAAGCCCATTGTTTAGTAACAGCGGGACCTGTAAGCCCATTGTTTAGTCACAGCGGCATCTGTAAGCCCATTGTTTAGTAACAGCGGCACCCGTAAGCCCACTGTTTAGTAACAGGGGGTCTTGTGATGCAGTTCTGAGGCGCCTCAAAGTCGTCTTTGCGGCTGCACTGAGGACTGCGGCTCTTGTGAGCGCATTGTTCAGTGATGTGTTGCGATTTCTTGAAGCGTTTTGTAATTCCACGCAAGCATTCTACTACTTCCAGTTTGCGTTGCTCCTCAAGCTGCGATTGAACTCTCCTTCTGTCGAGTTGGCTAGAGGTCTGTTTTGCCCTGTTGGAAGCATTGGTGTTTTGCTGTCGTTTCGCCTCGAGATATTTGGACGCTCGGTTTTTGAGTCGACTCAAAAGTCTGCTTGTTTTGCCTTGTAGGAAGCATTGGTGTTTTGCTGTCGTTTCGCCTCGATGATAATTGGACGCTCGACACGCTTTGAAGATTCAAAGATCGATGCGCCTTGTGGGTTCATCTTTGACACGTCTCGAAATTTGGTGTGCTGATAAAAGCCATTGTGCCTACGAATGCTTCAGGAATCAGGTCTTTTTGTGTGGTGTTTTCTTTCTTTCCTTACCTTCTTTCTTTATTTCTTTTCTTTCCATCTTATTCTGCGGCATTTTTCTGCAGGTTGCTGTGCGCTCTGGTGCCCATGCATCATCGTCGGCCGAAACGCGGAAATTGTTACAGACGGCTTAACAGGTAACATGGCTTCACTGGTAAATCGCCTTTCGCGATGGCTTATCAAGGCATCCACGCTTCACGAGACGTTTTCAGCGTTACGTGCTTCAATGATTTCCTTTTTTCTTTAAGCCAACTCAGTCGGTGTGCATGGTTGGGTCCTCAAAAACACCCAACTCAGTCAGCGGCCATGGTGGGGTCCTGGTTGGTCAATAGTGAGTGATGACCCTTGCAAAGCCTGTGCCGATCCTACGAGGCCACGTGGCAATCCTGCGTTGAGCATCAGATGTAGTACCGCCGTTCTTTGCCACCCTGTAACGGCAAATGAAACTGACCAGCTGTTACGCGCATTCCCGTTCACCTATTTATATTTTTAGTCAAAATCCGCACGCATTGTCTCTTGTTCTCGTAAGTCGCTCCTCCTTTTGTACCAACACACACCCCAATCCCGGCTGTTTCCCTGCTGCTTCCCTCTGGTACCGCCTCTGCACCAGACTCTGGCACCGCCATCTGCCTCTGGTATCTCATCCAGATCCTCGTCAGCATGGGCGGCCTCTTGAGTGGACTACAGATTCACCTCTCTCCCTCCTACCCTCAATCCGCGTGCTCTTTTTCGGCTTCTTTGCTCCCTTATCCCCACCAGACTCTGGCACCGCCATCTGCCTCTGGTATCTCATCCAGATCCTCGTCAGCATGGGCTGCCTCTTGAGTTGACTATAGATTCACCTCTCTTTTGAAAATTCTCAATAGTTCATTCAACATATTCACCTCTCTCCCTCCTACCCTGCAACCTGCGTGCTCCTGTTTCGCTGTTTTGCTTCCTTCGCCCCACCAGACTCTGGCACCGCCTGCTGCCTCTGGTATCTCATCCAGTTTCTCCTCGGCATGGGCTGCTTCTATTTCCAACCGCAGGTTAAACGCAAGAAGTCACCTCTTTCCCTCTTCCCTGCTCCCCTGCACCCACCAGACTCTGGCACCGCCTGCTGCCTCTGGTATGTCATCCAGTGTCTCCTCGGCATGGGCTGCTTCTACTCCTGCGGTAAGGCTCTTGTGGCTTTAATGAAGCAGACTCTAACGAGGTAGATTGGATACGCTAGCACCGCCTGCTGCCTCTGGTGCTTCACGCAGTTTCTCTTCGGCATGGGCTGCTCCTACTCCTGCGGTAAGACCCCAGTGCCCTTAACGGAGCAGATTGTAACGGGTATTTTCACCCCACCAGACTCCACCACCGCCTGCTGCCTCTGGTGTCTCATCCACATCCTCGTCTGTATGGGCTGATTCTACTCTTGCGGTGAGGCTCCTGTGGCTTTAACGAAACATACTGTAACGAGGTAAACTGCGTACTCTAGCACCGCCTGCTGCCTCTGGTACATCATCCAGATCCTAGTTTGCATAGGCTGCCTCCATTCCTGTGGTAAGCTCTTGTGGCTTTACCGAAGCATACTACAACAAGGTGAATGGGTTTCGCGAGGTGCTTTGTTCAAATGATAAAGGCCCCGCGGATCGGGTCTTGAGTGCCTTGGCTTTTGTTAACATGAGCTAGGACTGTGTGACTGGGCCCCTTTGCCTGTGTTTTCAGTCGACTCAATACACAGTACTGATTTGACAGATTTTTTATTCTTCTCAAAACACTCTTTTGAGTCAGACTCAAAACACTCCGGTTTTGGCTTCTGGTAACGTGGGCGAGGGCTGTGTGACTGTGAATGGGTCCCTTCGCCCGTGTTTCGATTCTATTCAAAGCACACTTATGAGTCAGACTCAAAACACACCGGTTTTGGCTTCTGGTAACGTGGGCGAGGGCTGTATGACTGTGAATGGGTCCCTTCGCCTTCTCCCCTCCTCTCCTCCCTTTTGAGTCGACTCAAAAGCAGTGTCTGGGCCCCTTCGCCTTCTCCCCTCCTCTCCTCCCTTTTGAGTCGACTCAAAAGCAGTGTCTGGGCCCCTTCGCCTTCTCCCCTCCTCTCCTCCCTTTTGAGTCGACTCAAAAGCAGTGTCTGGGCCCCTTCGCCTTCTCCCCTCCTCTCCTCCCGTTTGAGTCGACTCAAAAGCAGTGTCTGGGCCCCTTCGCCTTCTCCCCTCCTCTCCTCCCTTATGAGTCGACTCAAAAGCAGTGTCTGGGCCCCTTCGCCTTCTCCCCTCCTCTCCTCCCCTTTGAGTCGACTCAAAAGCAGTGTCTGGGCCCCTTCGCCTTCTCCCCTCCTCTCCTCCCTTTTGAGTCGACTCAAAAGCAGTGTCTGGGCCCCTTCACCTTCTCCCCTCCTCTCCTCCCCCACTTTGTTTCTTTTCTCCATTTACTCTCTTCCTCTCCTCCCCTCCCTCCCTTCGCCTCCTTCTCGTCCTTTCCTCCTCCTCCTCCTCGCGTTTTAAACTGTAAACGGATTGAATGTGACTAGAGAAAAGGCACATACATGCGCATGCCTCTGCTCGCGCCATCTTTCGATCCAGTCACTCCTGTACATGGGTGCGCTATAGGCTGGAATCTAGTTGAACCTTGTTCTGAGTCGACTCAAAACTCACTCCTGTTTCAACATACCTTTCTCCATTCACACTCCGCCAGGCTTCCGCCAGAGGCTACTGCAGAAGCACATGTTGCCAGCCAATTCAAGCCCTGCGTGCTCATCTCTCACTGCCCATCTCCTCCCCTCCCGCTTTGCCTGTCTCCCTTGCACCTCCGCCAGGCTTCCGCCAGAGCTGCTGCAGAAGCAGAAGCGCATGCTGCCAGCCAATCCAAGCCCTGCATGCTCGTCTCTCACTGCCCATCTCCCCTCCCGTTTTGCCTGTCTCCCTATCCCTGCATCTCCGCCAGGCTTTCACCAGAAGCTGCTGCAGAAGCGCATGCTTCTGCCAGCCAAGCTGTGCTGTGCTGTGCTTCCAAGGACATGCTTTCGGCCAAGCAATGCGTTATGAATCGATTCAACAGACTCAACATTCATGCCCATTCCCCGATGCCCTTCCTTTCCCAACTTTCTCCCAGGATTCTGCAAGAAGCTGAGGCAGGGCAGAAGTTCATGCTGCCAGCCAAGCCCTGCGGGGATTGCCAGACGTCATTTTCGGGCATTCTACATCCCACCCTCCTCCCATCTTCCACGAGAACTAAGGCGATATTTGAGGTGCCTCAAAAATGGCATTTTACGTCCCACCCTCCTACCTTCCATCCTCCAGGCTTCCGCAGGAGGCTGAGGAACAAGTACATGCTGCCAGCCTGGCCGAGCAGGCACTGCCAGAATTCATTTGCGGTTATTCTACATCTCACCCCTCTCCCACCGTCCACCCTCTCCCAGGCTTCCTCCAGAAGCTGATGAACAAGTACATGCTGCCAGCCAAGCCGTGCGTACTGAGACAATTAAACATGACTCGTCCTTGCTCCAAATCCCTTCCCTCCCCTTCACCGTCCACCCTCTCCCAGGCTTCCTCCGGAAGCTGAGAAACAAGTACATGCTGCCAGCCAACCCGTGCGTACTGAATCAATTCAACATGACTCGTCCTTGCGCCAAATCTCAACCCTGTCCCCCACCTTCCACCAGCCGCCAGGCTTCCGCAAGAGGCTGAGAAACAAGTATATGCTGCCAGCCTGGCCGTGCGGGAACACTGCTGCAAGTCAATTCAACAGGCTCAACCACCATAACCATTCCCCCATGCCCTTCAAATCCCACCCCTCCCTCAGGCTTCCGCAAGAGGCTGAGAAACAAGTGCATGCTGCCAGCCTGGCCGTGCGGGGACTGCCAGAAGTCATTTGCGGCTATTCTACATCCCACCCCCCTCCCACCTTCCACCCTCCCACCTTCCACCCTCCCACCTTCCACCCTCCCACCTTCCACCCTCCCACCTTCCATCCTCCCACCTTCCACCTTCCCACCTTCCATCATCCCACCTTCCACCCTCCCACCTTCCATCCTCCCACCTTCCACCCTCCCACCTTCCATCCTCCCACCTTCCATCCTCCCACCTTCCATCCTCCCACCTTCCACCCTCCCACCTTCCACCCTCCCACCTTCCACCCTCCCACCTTCCACCCTCTCCCAGGCTTCCTCCAGAAGCTGAGGTACATGCAGCCAGCCAAGTCGTGCGCTATGAATCAGTTCATCAAGCTTAACATCATGCCCATTTTTCGATGCCTTTCCATTCCCTAATTTCTGCCAGGCTTCCGCAAGAGGCTGAGGAACAAGTACATGCTGCCAGCCATTCCATGCGGGGATTGCCAGAAGTCAATTGCGGTTATATGACGTCCCACCCTCCTCCCACCTTCCACCCTCTCCCAGGCTTCCGCAAGAGGCTGAGGCAGAAGTACATGCTGCCAGCCAAGCCATGCGGGGACTGCTGCGTGCACACATTCTGCTTCCTCTGCGCCATCAGCCAGGAGTATCGCGAGCTCAAGATCCGAGGCTGGGAGCCCAAGCTCGGTAAGTCCGAAGCTGCAGCACAGGCTCATAAGTCAGAGACTTGGGTAGAGCGTTGGGGACTGCGTAGTGCACGGCCTCTGCCTCCATAGCGCCATCCACCAAGAGAGCTGCGAGCTCATGTTTCCGAGGCTGGGAGCCGAAGCTCGGTAAGTCCGAGGCTGTAGCCCAGGCTCAGTAGGTCATAGGCTCCGGCACTGCACTGGGACCGTTGCGTGCACATCTTATGCTTCCAATGCGCCACCTTCCAGGAGTACCGTGAGCTCAAGAACCGAGGCTGGGAGCCCGAGCTCGGTAAGTCCGAGGCTGTAACCCAGGCTCGGTAAGTCACAGGCTCGGATACTGCATTAGGGATTGCTGCGTGCAGACCTCCTTCTTCATGTGCGCCATCTGCCAGGAGGACTGCGAGCTCAAGTTTCTGAGGCTAGGAGCCGAGGCTAGGTTTTTAAAGCCCAGGCTCGGTAGGTCACAGGTTCGGGCACTGCACTGGGACCGCTGTGTGCACGTCTTCTGCTTCCAATCTGCCATCCGCCAGGAATACAGCGAGCTCAAACCGAGGCTGGGATCACAAGCTCGGGACAAGCCCGAGGCTGTGGCCTAGGCTCGGTAAGTGCTGGGAACTGCTGCGTGCACATCTTCTACTTCCATAGTGCCATCTGCCATGAGTACCGACAATATCCTACCCCATTGCTATCTTGTTCGCCCATCTCTTTCACTTGACCCTTTACCCCTCACTTGTCTTGTTCACTCTCCCATGTCACAAAGGCTATACTGGCAACGCGCGTCGCTTCATGGCTGTGGGAAAAGTGACGTCAGTTCTATCCACTTCTATCCATACCTCCTCCCCTCCACGACCCTTGTCTCTGTTACCTTGTTACAAGGTTATCTGAGCAACGCGCGTCGTTTCATGGCTGCGGGTAAAGTGCCTCCTACAGGGCAGCAGATGGAGCGCTGAGCAGCGACAGAAACAATGGTCTTGAATTGAAGCGCGACAAGAAACTGCCTTTGTTTTGTAACATAGTGGTGTTGTAATTGCAGCACGGTGGCTTTGTTTTGTAACATAGCGTGTTTGCATTTGCAGCACGGTGACTCTGTAATGCTCATCTAGTGAATTACTTGGAGAGATGGCCCTGGTTTTGGGGAATGGAAGTGTAGTTGCTTGATGTTCCAGGTGGACGGCATAATAAAGGTAAATTTGTGAAATTGTTGAAGTGTACGAATTCGTCATTGAACAATTGTTGCGATAATTGCAAGGCCCCAACCTGCGCCGTACACTGCGGCGGGCTGAGCTTTCATTCCAATAATTACCCCCTGCCTTCCGTTGAGATTGATGGACACGCGGCTCGGTCCCCCTTCCCCATTGATATTTTACACGTACACGCGACAATTATTGGGCCCAAGGTGGCGAGATGGGAAGGAATGGGGAACGGGGAGGAAGGGGAGCGCAGCGGGGAAGGGAAGAGGGGCTTGGTCGCCGGGGAGAAGCAAGCAGCACCCTGAAACCTCCCACCCGACCCGACGGAATCCCGAATCCCGCCCGATGTCCCCCGTCCCAAATCCATGGGGAAGTCAATTGTTGCGCCGCGCGCCGTGTTGGTGTGATGTAGTCCAAGCAACCCCCCCTCCCGTTTCCCATATGTTACGCCCACACACAACCCACCCCAGAAAACATATTCGAGGTCGAATTGAGACTCCCAGCAACACATTCAGTACTTGCATTGGTTGTTAGTATCAAGTATACGAACGTAACTAGACACCTGCGCTGTCTTTTCATCGTCGATAGGAAATCAAGGCGCCATTTCAACTGCGGGTCAATCACGCGACCATCTTCAAGCTCAAAAGCCTGTGTTCTTCAAGGTGCCTGTCGAGTCGACTCAAAAGTCAAAATCAGCGTCTAGCGCAACAAGACTCGGGAAGTCAACCAAGGTCAAACATGGCGACGCCTCCGTCGTCGGTGCCGATGGGCGCGTGGACGACCGGCCTCTGCGGCTGCACAGAGGACTGCGGTTCCTGTAAGCTATTCTGCTACTACTCACGGGTCTTGTGATGCCATGCTCGAAGGGCCTCGATTATTTGATGCTTGACGCGCCTGTTAAAAACAACCGTCGACAATCCACACGTCTTAATGATTCGACGCTAAAAGAGCCTGAAAAAATAAACACTCCACGCGCCTTGATGATGCGACAGCTGACGCGCCTCGTGTGGTTTTGAGACGTCTCAGAAGTCGCCTTGGGCGCTGGTAGAGATCCTCGTGCCTCTTGCTGTTTCACGATTTTTTTCTATATTTATATATTTTTCCTGACAAATATGTTTGCAGGTTGCTGCGCGCTTTGGTGCCCGTGCGTCATCGTCGGCCGAAACGCGGAAATCGTAACAGATGGCTTCACAGGTAACACATTTCTTGGAATGGGTGCACGGGTAAATGGCTTCTCAACACGCAGTCGGTGCCACGTGCTTCTCAGATGACTCATGGTGCATGACGTTTCTTGAGAGCCTCGTCCGTGTAAATCCGGAGCCGTATTTCATATGAAGCTATTGAGGCGTTTTTTCGCCTACTATACGTCGGGCTGAATCCGTTATTTACGAAAATTCTAAAAATAAAGCACGTCGACCAGCCAGCTGACCGCAAATCCTCATCGGAAAGCTTAACCCCGATTGGCGTCCCTTTTTTATGCCTCTACTCCTCTCGCCTCCCGTTTTCCCCTGTTCCTTCCCTCCGCTTCCCTTGTCCACGCCGCCTGCTGCCTCTGGAACCTCAATAAGCTTACCTGCCGCTTGAGTTGATGCACGATCCACCTAGTCTCTGCTCCATTTCTGCCCCGTCCCTGCAACCTTTTTTGGCTGCATTTGTTCCCATTTCGGTTGCTTCTCTCGCCCCACCAGGCTCCGGCACCGCCTGCTGCCTCTGATCGATCGTTGAGCTGTCGTCTGTATAGGCTGCCTCTATAATTTTATTCATACGTCACCTCTTCCGTGTTAATTACCTGCCTTCTCCCCACCAGACTCCGGCACCGCCTGCTGCCTCTGGTACCTCATTGAAATTCTCGTTGGCATGGGCTGCTTCTACTCCTGCGGTAAGCTCTTTTGGCCATAACGAAGCGGACTGTAACGAGGTAGATTGCGTACTTCAGACCCGCCTGGTGCCTCTTGTACCTCATTGATATTCTTAACGGCATGGGCTGCTTCTAAGCCTGCGGTTAGCATTCGTGGCCGCGACGCCCCCCAAAGCTTCTGCCAGACGCTGAGGCAGAAGTACATGCTGCCAGCCAATCCGTGTGTTTTAGCGGTTAGAAGCTCATTTGCCATACCCAATCCTCTACTCCCTTCCCTTCCCATCCATTGCTGCCTCTCCACCAGGCTTCCGTTCAAAGCTGAGGCAGAAGTACATGCTGCCCGCCAAGCCCTGCGGGGACTGCTGCGTGCACACCTTCTGCTTCATGTGCGCCATCTGCCAGGAGTATCGCGAGCTCAAGAACCGAGGCTGGGAGCCCAAGCTCGGTAAGTCCGAGGCTCAACCACAGGCTCGATAAGTCACAGGCTTGGCATTGGGACTGCTGCGTGCAAAACTTCTGCATCATGTGCGCCATTTCCCAGGAGTACCGCGAGCTCAAAAACCGAGGCTGGGAGCCCACGCTCGGTAAGTCCAAGGCTGTAAGCCAGGCTCGGTAAGTTACAAGTTCGGGTACTGTGTTTCGGACTGCTTCTGCCTCCGAAGCACCATCTGCCAGGAGTACCGCGAGCTCAAGAACCGAGGCTGGGAGCCAAAGCTCGGTAAGTCCGAGGCTGTATCGCAGGCTCGGTAAGTCACAGGCTTGGCATTGGGACTGCTGCGAGCACAACTTCTGCTGCCTATGTGCCATCTGCCAGGAGTACCGCGAGCTCAAGTAACGAGGCTGGAAGCCCAAGCTTGGTAAGCCGGAAACCAAATACTTGCTTCGGCGACTGGTGTGTGCACTATCATGGTGCTTACTGTAAGCCTTAAAAATGGGGCTGGGAGCCTATCTCGCCACGTCCGAGGCTCTAGGTTTGTTGTGGTAGAGGCTCGGTAGGGTGCGTGGGTTGGAAGGACTTAAATGCTATAGTTTCCATTGTTCTCTTTGCGTACAGCTATGCTGGCAGCACACTGATTTCCTTCACTTCTATCCATGCCTCTCCCCCTCCTCGACCTTCTCTCTGTTACGTCGTTATAAGGTTATCTGGGCAACACACGTCGCTTCATGGCTGCGGGTAAAGTGCCGCCTACAGGGCAGCAGATGGCGCGCTGAGCAGGAACAGAAGATGGTAACACGAGTAAATGCAGGGAGAATGCGGACAGAAGATACATAAAAAGCATGGGGATCAGTAATTGAAGTTCCAGCAGCAGTCAGTGCAGTCTGGATAATAAGCTGTCCAAGTGTATTTAGACTAAACTTCGTCCACAACGATGTTTGTTTTCCTGCAAAGTGTAATGAGTTTTACTAGACAGAGTGCGCGAAAGACTTCTATAAAGAGAATGAATTACAGAATTACTGAATTCCGCAACAATGATAAAGGAGCACGCATTCATAGGGTCGAAACCTTGCTAGGCGAGGACCTTGGGACGTGGATAGTTTGGAAGTGTCGCGATTGGTGCGAGGCGACTCGGAAGTGGTTCGGGCCGAAGTGTAGGCCGAACCCAAACTGACACGAACAGTTCGGGCTGTCCTCACTAGGAGTAGCCTCTTGTCAAATATTATAGCCTATAGTGGGTTGGGCTATATGGGGTAAAACTAGTTAGGGTTAGGTGATGTACCCCAATTCTGTCAACACAACTCATTCCGCTGTAGTTCTCATTCTGACATGGTATCAGCAGTAGGTTAGCGCTCCTAGTCCTAGGCCCGCCCTTCCCTACTGTCAAATATTATAGCCTGTAGTGGGTTGGGCTATATGGGGTACAACTAGTTAGGGTTAGGTCATGTACCCCAATTCTGTCAATGCAACGCATTCCGCTGTAGTTCTCATTCTGACATGGTATCAGCAGTAGGTTAGCGCTCCTAGTCCTAGATCCGCCCTTCCCTACCACTAGGGTTACCACTGCACCCTGCCAGCCCGCCAGCGCCCTACCCCACGCCCCAGCCGGCGCGCCCCTCCCCTCCCCGCCCTTAGCCAGCGCGCCCGCCAGCCAGCCAGCGCGCCAGCAGCCTGCGCGCCAGCCAGCCAGCCAGCGCGCCAGCCAGCCAGCGCGCCAGCAGCCAGCGCGCTAGCCAGCCAGCGAGCCAGCGCGCCAGCCCGCCAGCGCGCCCGCCAGCACGCACGCCAGCGCGCCCGCCAGCGCGCCACGCCAGCGGGCCCCGCCAGCGCGCACGCCAGCGCGCGCCCTGCTTAGCCACCCGCCAGCGCGCCGCGCCCGCGCGCCACGCCAGCCAGCGCGCGCCCCGCCGCCCCGCGCCTAGCCAGTGCGCGCCCCGCCTGCGCGCACCCGCCTCGCACTCACCTCCCTCTCCTCCTCCTCTCGCGGCTGGCGGCCGCTATCACTTGTCCTCGCCCCTCATGGCGACGTCTTGCGTGCTCCGTTTCGACCCTGAGGGGCGTGCGATCGACTTTAGTACCTGGCTGACGCAGGCCCAGCGCCACCTTAGGAGCCAGCGCCAGGATGGCGTGCACCTGTTTGCGCATGCATCCGGTGCTCTGCCCGCCCTGCCGCAGCCTTCACCGCTGCCCACTTCCCCACCGCCTACTTTCGAGCAGGAGGTTGAGTACCAGCGCCGGTTCCTCGCTCGTGACGTGTGGGAGTCTCGTGACGCTGCTGCCTACCTCGCCCTGACCGACCTTCTCCCGCCGACTGAGGCTGTCCACTTCACTCAGGTCGAGTCTGCTGCAGACCTTTACACTGCTATTGTTGCTCGCTACTCCACTCCCTCCTCTGCCTCCCTCAGCCGCCTCCTCGTCCCCTTTATCTACCCTGACCTCGCCTCCTTTGAGACTGTCGCTGACCTC